TGTGTGTGTGTGTGTGTGTGTGTGTGAGAGAGAGTACAGATTAAGTAAGCATGATTTAGAAATAGAGAGAGGAAGACATAGACAAACATGGACAGAGCAAGAGCAGAGGATCTGTAGACACTGTGATCTACAGCAAATAGAGAACGAGAAACACTTTCTGCTGATTTGTCCTAAATATCACAATGTGAGGGGAACATTTCTCCCCAGATCTGAAGCCCTGATCCCATCATTTACTGAACTTAGTGATATTGAGAAAATGCCCTTTTTACTTGGAGAAGATGACAACACAGCTGCACTAGCTGCAAAATATGTATTAACCATTCACAATGTTAGATGTTAAACACGATTAGCTCGATACTGACTTACTTTATCTTTTCATTTATTTAGATGGATTTTATTTATTATTATTTATGCTGTTGTTATATATATATGTTAATGCTTTGGCAACATTGTGTTACACAGTCATGCTAATAAAGCATAATTGAATTGAATAGAGAGAGAGAGAGAGAGAGAGAGAGAGAGAGAAAATGTGTATGTGTGTGTGTGTGTGTGTGTGTGTAAAGGGTGTTGGGCTTTAAACAGACAACCAAACAAAGCTGTCAAGATGAATGATTACTTGTTTCTTATTGTTGGGTGTAGAAGTACAAACACACACGTCTGATATCATATCATTCAGCTACACACACAGCAGTCCCACTTCATCACTGCGTCATATTTAAGGATAAATCATCGAAGGTGTGCAGCTCTAATTGTAATTGATCAGTTTCATATTCTCTGCCACCATCAGCAGAAAGAAACTGCATAAATCTTTTCATGCTCATTTTGTAAGCATGTTCCTCATAAATGCCTCGTGTGTCGGGTCGGGCTCACTCTCTTGCATTGTTTAATATGTTCTGCTTGCTGGTGATGGGAGTATTTTTGCCCAAAAGGGAGTGAAGAGTTGGCAGAATGAAGCGGGGTGTGTATCTGTGAGTTAAGAGACGAGGGGAGGAAGGTCAGAATGAAACTCAAGCTCCTGCTTTCAGAGGATTACAGAATTAAACTTGAAACAGGAGGAGTACTAAATCATTATACTGTCCACTGTTCACTTTTGTAGTATCATGACAAGGCTCTGGGTTCTTATACAGAAACTCAACACAAAAGATTATGTTTATTATGATTGGACACGGGCCATGTATAACACAAGAAACAGCAAAAATTTATTGTAGGTGCAGCTTAAGGAAGGATTGTTTAGACAGAGCTTAGTTTTTCTTCCTTTGTGTGTAGGTGTGTGTGTGTGTGTGTGTGTGTGTGTCTGTGTCTGTGTCTGTGTGTGAGTGTGTGTGTGTATGTGTGTGTGTGTGTGTGTGTGTGTGTCACAGCTAAAGCTCATTACTCTTTTAGAAAGAGTTTTAATTACGCAGATCACACACATCCATCTTATCAGTGTCTAATGGTGAGCAGCGTCTGTTCAGTGGTAAGAAGCTAGAAGATGACCTGAAGCACAGAGGAAATGATGAAGGAGGATTCTTCAGGATCTATGAGGTCAGTTGCTGAAGTAGGGTGGACTTCCTCTCTGTGTCCGAACACAGAACGGGCTCAGAGCCAGACCTGGGCAGAGACGGCTGTACACCATCATAAATGCTTCACACTCGCTGATCAGTGCAACTGCCTGCATAAACTACAGGACTCAGAAACTGCTGTTTGAATCAACTACAGAGTTTCTGCATCAAACCCTTTAAGTCAACGGGATTTATTCATACTTCAAATCCCACATATGAATTATTTAATATGATATATATATATATATATAAACTTACGTAAAAACTCAATGGGGCCAGTTATACTTTCAGTAATACTATTTCCGTATGCATTTTTTTGAGACACATTCACAGTTACAGCATCTCTCAGCTCCTGGAAAAACCTCCAAAAGATTAACCTAAATCACATTCAAATTAGAGATATAACAGTTTGAAAGTTTCTAATCACGATTATAGTGACCAACATTACCACAGTTATCAGTATTATCATGGTATTGTTAAAATGTGCTGGAAATGTTCAAAAAAGTACTGACACATAAATCACTTTACCAAGTTTTATATTTAAAATCAACAAACAACAAATAAAATTACTTCTTGTTTGCATAATCACTAAAACAATAACATTACCAATGATGTCCGGATTTTAAATGACAACATGACTGACAACAGTTTATCTAATAGCATGTTCAAATATCTATTGTAAATGTTCAAATAATGCTTTGAAAAAGTCTCATAAAAAGGTAAACCTCACATTTCAGCCTTTAAATAAAGAAAACGGTTAAGTCAAAATGATAATTGATTAATAAATGATTATATGTATTTTATCTGCTCCATAAATGATTCTAGATTAGAACTTATCTCAATTGTTTAAATGTGTAGAATCCACATAAGCCTGTTTTTCATCAACCGGTCAAAATTTACAGCAGGGCATGCAGATTTGGTCCATTTTTTGTCCAGACAGAAACTGCACACAGACTGAATGGGAATGTAAGTCTCTGTATATCTACTCTCTGACAGCAGGTGGCACTGATGGAGCAGCAGAATTCCAGCTGTTTCCCATAACCTCCGAGGACAAAGCAGCATTGTGATTAAAACACTACTTTATTAGGTATTACATGGAGCGAAGACGAAAACAAAATGCCATCAAATCTTTTCTGAAGACAATCAGAACCTTCAGGGGTACATTCATATAATTAATAATTTGCATTCATTTGTATAATTCCCTTAGTACTCTTTTAAAACCTCACAGCTTTTCTGCCATGTTTTCACACAAAACGAAACTACTCTGTGTGGTGTGCACACCTGAGACTGTTATTTAAAACTGTGCTTTATGATGGACAGTATTAATTTATCCTCAGTTGTTCAAATCGCGGTAATCAAACACAGTTATAATGATAATTAAAATATGAAAGGGTAATACTAACCATGGGGAATTTTATCATGATTTATCGTCAACCCGGTAATTGTTACATTCCTGTATTTTATCTGCTCCATAAATGATTCTAGATTAGAACTTATCTCAATTGTTTAAATGTGTAGAATCCACATAAGCCTGTTTTTCATCAACCGGTCAAAATTTACAGCAGGGCATGCAGATTTGGTCCATTTTTTGTCCAGACAGAAACTGCACACAGACTGAATGGGAATGTAAGTCTCTGTATATCTACTCTCTGACAGCAGGTGGCACTGATGGAGCAGCAGAATTCCAGCTGTTTCCCATAACCTCCGAGGACAAAGCAGCATTGTGATTAAAACACTACTTTATTAGGTATTACATGGAGCGAAGACGAAAACAAAATGCCATCAAATCTTTTCTGAAGACAATCAGAACCTTCAGGGGTACATTCATATAATTAATAATTTGCATTCATTTGTATAATTCCCTTAGTACTCTTTTAAAACCTCCCAGCTTTTCTGCCATGTTTTCACACAAAACGAAACTACTCTGTGTGGTGTGCGCACCTGAGACTGTTATTTAAAACTGTGCTTTATGATGGACAGTATTAATTTATCCTCAGTTGTTCAAATCGCGGTAATCAAACACAGTTATAATGATAATTAAAATATGAAAGGGTAATACTAACCGTGGGGAATTGTATCATGATTTATCGTCAACCCGGTAATTGTTACATTCCTAATTCAAATATAACAAACATACTTCATTCTGGACCATTTATCCTTCTGTCGACCCGCACATAGGTCTGTCCACACACGCACAGGTTTCCGTGTTTTATGGGTTCATTCTATAGGTGTAATGGTTTTTCTACTGTTCAAACTGTATTTTCTATCCTCTCACCCTAACCCTACATCTACACCTACCCCACAACAATTTCCCCACAAGGTAAACATTTATTGGTATTAATTTACTTGTGGGGACATTTGGCCCTCATAACATAGTGAATACCAGTATACTCACTCACACTTGATTTTTTATTTTAGTGGGGATTTTCCATTGACTTCTACAGAAATCAGTCAACAGAATATATTTCCATCTTCCTGCTGTAATCGCTTTCTACACCTTTGGAGGCGATGACTGCACAATAGAGTTAAAGAGGGCTACACATCAACTGTATTTACACTTGCCATAGAGATCCATACATGATACAAGGATACATTCTTTCATCACAAAGTTGTTCTGCACAAGATGTTGTCACTTCTTCTCCATGTTGGTCAGCTGAAAAGAGAACAGACAGCAAAACATCAAATCACACAACAAAACACACCTGAAAAACTTTACATGACACCAAAAAGCGGCGCTCACATTCAGCTCTATTTTGCTCTTGTCATGCAGATAAACAGCTTTAGTCTCAAATTCAACTCAAGTCTACTTTATTTGTATAACGCTTTCCACAATACACACTGCTTCATAGCAGCTTTACAGAAAGTCATACTGTTATGTGCCTTCTATAAAGCACCATGCAAATAAAATGGATTTGACGTAATGCTTAGAGCAGGTTTAAGGCTGGGAAATATATAACGATGGTCAGGGACATCAGATTCATGGATAGCAGGACTAAGTGTGTTTCAGGGGTCTGACATCCATCCCCAGGATTTTTTTAAGCCCCCATAATGTAACAACAGGTGTAAAATTGAAATTATGTTATTTTCAGTAAAAGGTTGGCTAAAATTATACCTTCTCATAATCTGTGTTAGACACTAATGTACAATAAGACTGACTTCCTTATTGTCCAAAAGAAAAATTGAAGTCCACTCTGTTCCCATCCATTCATCCATCATCCATCCAACAACAACAAAAGGAACCAAAATGACTGTACTGTGTAGCCAAAATATGTCTTGGATGTTATTTTAAGTGAGAAGACATGTAGGTCAATCACAGACCATTTTATTGATCTCATATCACATTGATGTCACTGAATTTCCAGAATTGTTATGTCTCCACAAAGATCTCATACAGTGATGAACTTGCTCAGATCCTTGTGCCTGCCCTGAATTAAATAGAAGATGAAACGTTTGATGAAAATATATTGACTGAAATATATTTATCTCCCTTTGAGAACTGAACCGGATTGTTTTATGACAAGGTTTGCCATCGGTCCGTTGTGATGGGATCATCCCCTATTTAAAGATGAAATAAGGTAAACTTGTTTGCGTTCACAGAATATTTTAGAATGCTGCTGTCTCCAAAAATACTGGAACAAGCCGTTTTCTTGAGTGCACGTAAACAGATGAACCATTTCTCTCAGTCACATATTACCCACCAGATCACATCTCTGGAGTTTGACTGGGTGGTTCCTGCACTAAAACAGTTCAGACGAGGCAGCTCGTGCTAGTGTCTGCATGGGCATTATGGGAGAAATGTACACAGTGAAATCATGATTATTCCCTGTCTTTATCAACCCAATGCGATGTCTGGACAGATCGGTTTCCTCTGTTAGACAGAAACAGTCAGTGAAATCTCAGCGCGGCACAGCTATGAGTGAACAGCAGAAACACATCTGAAGCTGAATGGAGTGTGTATGCAGACACGAGTGTGTCTCTCACCTTCAGCTCGTGCTAGTGTCTGCATGGGCATTATGGGAGAAATGTACACAGTGAAATCATGATTATTCCCTGTCTTTATCAACCCAATGCGATGTCTGGACAGATCGGTTTCCTCTGTTAGACAGAAACAGTCAGTGAAATCTCAGCGCGGCACAGCTATGAGTGAACAGCAGAAACACATCTGAAGCTGAATGGAGTGTGTCTCTCACCTCCGCATGGGTCTCGTTCTCTTGTAAATGGTACTGTATCATCTTCTTGAATGTGTCCTTCCTCTGAGTGAGTGTTACTCGATCCTCCTGCAGTCTCTAATGGGACAAACGGTACAGTGAGTGCTGTGAGACTATCACTAGAAGAGTGACTGATGCAACCACCACATTTATATTATATTATGTTACATGCCCATTATAATAGGGGTTTATATACATTTATGGAATAGGTTACAGTGAAAAAAAAACATTGTGATTATGTTTTATTCATTGTTGTCATTATTCTCTAGTTCATATATCGTATGTTGTTTATGTTTTTCTACAGGAGGAAAACGCTTAACGAGAGACTTTGTGCATTGCGTTCATATTCTGCTGTTCTGTAGCCACGGATTTGCGGGTCTTGTCTTTTTCTTGCAGGACCCTGTACGTTATAGTATAACATTTGTTTTAATCTTTTAATCACCACCACAGCTTCTTGTCTCCATTGGCAACATGCACGGTTTGTGTCAATTGCAAGTGACGTCACAGGTATCGGAGAGTGCAAGCGGCGATTGCAAGTGACATTGTAATTTAGTTTATTTTTCTTGTCTTCACCACCTGGCTACTGTTGTAAAATGTTGAGAGATTTAAACAAAAAGTAATCAATAAATAGAACAAAATAAAAAATAAAAAAGACTGCAAGTGACGTCGCTAGCGGAAGCGCAAGTGTCTGAGAATGCAAGTCTGAGAATGCAAGTGCAAGGCTGCAGCCAGACCCTTCTCAACGAACTAGGCGTGAAAACACCCTAAGACTCCTAAATAGATATTTTATCACAGTTTTTTGTTACAAATTATGTAGGAACAGTAATAGATTAATTTATGACAAGAGTGCACCTCAAAACATATACTACATCATAATAGGAGTTCTGACCTTTGACACAAATTCTTTTTCATTTAATTTTCACCTATCACATGTTTTAGAAATCATCACAAATTAAATATCACTTGAAAGCTTAAAACCACAAAATTCATTCTGTGAAAACCATTTTGAAATCGGACATTGCGTTACCATGGAAATGGTACTTTAAAATCTTTTAGCGGGCTCCTCCCCCTTAGTGGGGGGTATCATTTTACAAAATGTATTACAAAATGTCTTTTAGAATCAAAACTTTTTATAATCTTGACAAAATACATATCATTGGAAAGGTCTGAGTCTCTTTGAGTACTTTGTGATAGAAGTGATACTGAGAGAAACATTTATACATTTGTGACAGAAAAAATTGCATTAAAAAATCAATGGCGTTTCAATGGCACCTGGTGGCTAGTTTTGGTATAACGCCCAAACAATTTGCATAGGAACCTCAATTTTTTTTATATCACCTTCAAATTTGGAACACAACTTATCTAGACATGTTCATGGCCCTGAATGAGAAAAAGTTATACAATTTCTGGAAGAAAAATTTAAGTTAAATAGTATTTCGTATACATTGAAAATAGAAATGATAGCTCACTTTTACCATCGGAGTCTGAGAAACTCTTTTTCAGCACTGAAAATAATGAGAAAATATCCTTTTTTCCCTTTCCAGGGTAGTAAAACACCAACATAACAACATATACCCAAGAAATATATTTAATTTGGGTCTGTACAGTTGCCTTGAAAAAAGAAAAAAGAAAAGTGGGTCAAATTGACCCGCGAACATCAAAATTGTCAAAAAATTATTTGTGTGCACTTCAAAACACATCAGTATATCCTCACTTTGCATGCATGTTCATGGCCCTAAATGAGAAAAAGTCACAAAATATCAAGAATAAAAATCACAGATTAACTGGTATTTCTGACAGCTCAAAAATCAAAATGGGTCAAATTGACCCGGAACATAATATAAGGGTTAAAGCGACAACAAACATCATGAAGTTTTACCCATTAGGTGTCTTTTAACATGACAACTTTGGCTAATTTCCACGATCATTTTTGTGCCACATGAACATGTGTAACTACAGTGTGCTGCTTGAGAGGAGAGCAGGAAGCAGTACAGGGTTCAGAGCTCATGATCTAACCTTTGGAAATGATTACAAGCAGATTTGGCTACTCCGTTACAAAGATTCATGACACACTGAAACCGGCTACGCTGCAGAAAGAGGATGTTCTGCCGGTCAGTGTGAGATGCAGAAATACTGAGACTGACCCATTGAGATGCCCATCCTCAGGGACGCCCTAATCTGCATCCCACCAGGAGACCTGGTTTATCTGAGTGCTGGGGGGGGGCATTACAGGAAGGAAGTGGAAGAGGGCTGCTTTCCTCTGATAGGCAGAAGGCCCAGCTCACTGTTTGTAGAGAGAGAGAGAGAGAGAGAGAGAGAGAGAGCGAGAGAGAGAGAAAGA